TCCCTATGAGGCCTTTTAAACAGGTCAGATTTCACATAATGCAACTACATGTTACTACACATACACACATATTACTACTTAGTTACTCTTTTTCTTTTCTAGTACTCTAAAAGAAATTGAAATTAGAGAAGGACAATTTTCATAGTGACATATGCTTAAAAGTATCCAGTTACATTGAGACTAAATAGCAGAAACATGGTTATTGACAAGTGCCAGAGCCTGCACTGACAGACTGGATATAGATACTCTCTGTACCAGTGTAATTTATCATTCAGACCCGCTCATTATCAGACGCCAGCGAAAGGAAAATGGCAGAGGTTGACACAGGACCCGAGTGTCAATGGACTGCTTGTCTAAGGATCAAAGCAGAGGGATTCACATCAGCGTTCCTTCTTTTCCAGAGTCATCTCCTGAGTAAATATGTTTAAGACTTACAGACTGTGGACACAATGAGCTGCACAGGACACAGGGCCAATGGAGTCTCACAGCTAAGGTCAATAGATCAGTTACACACAGAGCCAGCAGCAGAGTCATGCGACCATGTGCTCACTCTGAACGATTGTGTATGAATATAGTACTCTTGTGCGCTTTAAGTCATGTTATAATGTTGTTAACTGATGAATAACATACCCGGAGCTGTGTTTTGTTTCAATAACACATGTTTGAGAAGTCCATTATTATTAGTCTGTCTACCTCTCCAAAGCTCAAAATGCTCCATTCAGCCTTGTGATGTCATGCAGTGGTAGGTTTCAAGTTAATAGCTACAGTTTACACCATTTAAACAGTTTGCAGTGGTTTAAAGTTATTCCTTGTTCACCTTCTGCTTTCCGAGCATCCTAATTATTCATCATAATGAGTTTAGAATGGGCTTTTCATAACAAATTTGCTGTCACATGCTAACCACACACTTCCTGATTCTTGGACACAATAAATCTTTAGAATTAGATCTAGACAGTAGACAGTGAACAAGGCAAATTTAACTGAAATACATGGAAGCAAAGTTAAGGCCCTTTAATAAAATGTAATGTGTAAATATAATAACTCAAAATAATGGGTGTGTACGGGTGCGACCACATATTCATGGCCATGGTAACTTGCCAAAGACTGATCTCATCAGATTTCAGAAGCTCAGCAAAGGCGGGCCTGGTTAGTACTTGGGTGGGAAACCGCTGGGAATTCCAGGTGCCACAGTAGGGCGCTAGCAGCAAGTCCTTAAGCAAGACACTGCACCCACATTGGCTAGAATGAGAGTGGTGTGAATGATTGATGGTGGTCGATGAGGCAGACTGGCAGCCTCGCTTCCGTCAGTCTGTCTGAGGGCAGTGCATATAGTGTCCTGTAAAGTGTTTTTGTGTGTCCAAGAAAGCCCTATATCAGTCTGATTTGTCATTGTCATTTAATATTACATCACATTACATAAAAATTGGGACTAAACTAGTACTGGAACAGACTAAACCAAGCCTACATTTGGGCTTAAACTAGGACCTAAAAAGAAGTGTGAACACACCCTAATACACATATGAACATTAAGCTTTTATGGGAAATTATCCGTGTGATATTAAACACATATTTATCACATATATTTTTAAAGCTACGTGTAAGAGATTGTTGTTCCTTTGTACTTTCACGCTACAAATTGTGTCTCAACATTTTACTATTATTCTTCAGTGTATTATGTTACTATGTCTGAGGCAAATTCTATCTGTGAATTTCATTAACACTGGCAGTACAACATTCTCTGATCCTGAAATAGCTGCATTTTGCTCAGATATATCTGGACCACTGTGACTTTATTCAGGCTCAGATCCAAAATGGGACACACTAAAATGTTTGATAATGGATTTTTAAAGGTCTAGTATCTCAAAGTTTGCTGTAAAAAAATACTAAATGGTCAGTTCGGACAATTCACAGCCAGAAGGACAAGAAAACTGTCTTTATTTATCACTTTTATTTAGACATGAACTAGACATTGTTGATAACCCATGTGAATAAGACACATTTCCACATACTCTTTCAAAAATGCCCCATGCCATTGTATCTCTTGCTCACTAAAGTACAGTGCTGTAGTAGCTGTAAGATTGAGTCTCTGGCACAGTGGCTCTTGTACTTTTATTACTCCCTCCCTCTCTGGGTTTCACTAAAATAGATCCACACAAGCTGACAGGGAGTAGTGAGAGCAAGTTGGCCACGTACTCCTCCATTTTACCCCGAAGCTATTCCAAAAATCCTACTCAGTGACAACATTTATTTTCCTCCTGACACTTAAACAGCTCTAGTTTGCATACAGTATTTGTCGGGCATTCTGAATTCACATGTTTTTATGGACTAATGGCTGTTGTGAGTCCATCCGTGCCATATCATATAACTGGTGAGGTATCTTGACATGGGGACAATATGAAATGTGGAATGTTGTGATTGTAGCCGGTTTTCTTCTCAGTTTTGAGGGGAGGCAGACTCAGATTTTGGCAAATTGTGTCAAATTGCTAATTCTAAAGCTCAGAGCGAGTGGAGGAAGAAATTATAGCTGTAACTTAAATGTGCATTGTGTTACTTTTGAGGTGGAGCATCCGTCAAATGCTTTTCTCCATGGAGATGTTGTTGCTTTGTCTGTAATATTCCACAGTATGGCATTACACTTATCTGTTTCTATGGAGACAAGCCCACAATCCCTCCAGGCCAAGTAACAGGTCAAATCTGTGGAATTACTATAGGAATTAATGTATTTTTTGAGCATTAAAACACTTGTAATTGATTAAATGCAACATACACTATCAGTCAAAAGTTTTAGAACACCCTAATTTTTCCAGTTATTTATTGCAATTCAAGTTGTGCAAGTCCAATGAAGAGCTTGAAATGGTACAAAGGTAGGTACTGAACAGCCAGCGGTTAAAAAAAAAAAGATAAAAGAACAAAACAGAAGTTCAAGCTCTGCCAAAACTACCTCAGGAAAAAAAAAAAAAAAAAAATGGTTTGGGGATGAACTGGACAGAAAAGTGAAAACCAAGCAACCTACAAATGCCACCCATTTATGGGATCTTCTGCAACAGACTTTCTAGCAACTTTCTGAAGAATATTTGACTTCTATTGTAAAAAGAACGAGTCACGAGTGTGTTCAGCTGTTATATCAAATGAATCAAAAGTTTTGAATATGTTTGGTCATCAGTAAACAGGAAACAATTTTTAAAAAAAAAAATGGAAAAGTGTGGTGTTCTAAAACTTTTGACCAGTAGTGTAAATCAGTTTTAATGCCATGTTGTGAAACCTTTCTGGCAAACAATCTTGTGGTAGATCCTGTACCCGTAAAGTTACACGGTGCATCTTTAAATAACCCGAAACAAGTACAAATATTATAAAAACTACCACTAAGCAGCCTTATTGACACTTTGAACTGTTAAATGCACAACAAGGGCTCAGTGGTTAGAGCACTTGTTCGTTGACCTGAAGGTTAGAGGTTTGATTCCTGAAGTTCGGTGTCCTTAGATCGGCAGGATGTGTTTTGTGATAAAATGTTTTAGCTGTAATTGTGGGCCATATTCTACACTGAGGAGCAGAATATGGGAGAGGAATGTTCTTATGACTGAGTTTGTATCTGTTTCACACGCGCTCTGTCTGTGGCGGATGTTTTGACCTTCAGCTCTGTAAATGTATCCGAGAGACAGTGATCTGATGAAAAGAGGCTCTCATTCACTGCTCTATACAACCCGTGTTTGTGCCTCTGATAACACAGAGACCTCTTCAGCACCAATGGGGGTTTACCACAAAGCTACGAGTTAGTTTGAATGGAGTTGTGTTAAATAGATGCATTTGTAGTACTGTACTCTCTTTTTGGAATCAGTGCAGCATTTTAGTGTGAAATAGAGAGTGAGAATATTTATATAAGTGTGGTTTAGCCATGTATTAAATAGGGATGTAACAATAACGGAAATATTGTGATATCATATCGTCAAAAGTCTCACAATAATACTGTGGGCTGTCATAATGTATCGAATTACAAAATCCTTAAATGCTTAAATGCATTGTTTTCTAGTACCAATAGCTAATAAACATTGGGAATTACATATCCCATGACTCATTTCAGTGCAGACAACATGAAGAAATATGTTTTTACTTGAATTCTTGGGATTATGATGGCAATAATTCACATCAAAATCTTGTCAAGGTATTTTAAAAGCAAAAAAGTGTCCTGTCTTCAATTATATCAGCCTCTCCAAAATATTGCAATAAATGTCGTACCGTGAGATGTGCATCGTGATAATATAGTACAGAGATTTGGATATTGTTACATCCCTAATATTAAACCATTAAGACATTGTTTAGGTCTGTGCTTTTTTCTGTGGAGATGTTATTGTTTTGTCTATTTAGTATAAAATCTATGTAAATCTAGTATTTATCTTCACTGAGACCAAACCAGACCAAAGTTACAGGTCAGATCTGTGGAGAGGCGCAGTCAGAAGGCCTGTTTTTCTAGGTATTTCTGAGCTATAAAACCACCTATAATTGAATAAATGTAATGTAGAGCTGTTTAATGTGATACTGTGGAGCATTTTAAGCACATCAGTGATATATCTATAGAATCAAGCAGGTGTTAGACCCTCAACCAAAAAGTTACATAGTCCACCTTTTAATGTAACTGTGTTGGTTAATTATTGCTTTTTATGATCAATGATCAGGCTAACTGAAAATATAGTGATTACAAATGGCTGTAAGGCAATTTAAACTATTTTTTCTCATACAAAACAACACATTTGTCTACAAAACTACAAAAACAAGAAATCTTAAGACCATATGGTAACACTGTTAATGAAGCAAGTACATCATTTATACTGTTGCATAGAAATAGATAAAAGTCATTGTCAGGCCTATAGAAATATGTTATTTCACCTCCACTGCCTGTGCTAATTAAATTTATCATAGCACACATTTATATATATTTTTTCAGTTGCAGAGGCGTTTTTGGAAGTTGGTTTTCACAGCCTTTCTTCTTCTCTTGTTTTCTTTAGGTGGGAACATGTGTTGTAGCAGATGCTAACCCTCCAGCTAGCATCACATGGAAGAAGAACGGGCAGGCCCTGGTAGCCGACGATAAAGGTACGTTTATTTCGACACCACCCACAAAATGTACAGAACGATTAAGCGATTAAGTATTAAAAATGGCTAGAGAGCTCGTCGGCATGGTAACCTAGAGTAAGAGTATTCAGTTACAGCCGCCATGTTGTGACTGTAGGATTTAACTCAACTCAAGCTAACTAGCATATCTCTTACATACTTCAATAACTGGACTTTTTTGTATCATTCATATCATCCATGTACTTTATTTATGTGTCCTACCATACTATGTGGGGGAACAAAAGAAGAAATATGCTTTTTCTGTATAAAATACACTGTAAACCCGAATGTTCAAACTAATTAAAAAGATTAAGTTGTATATACTCAAAGTTTAGAAATAATCCTACTAACTTAATTATGTCAAACATGCTCTTCTTTTTGAGTAATTTTAACTTTTTTTTTAAATTAAAGGGGACTCTTGTGGGTATAAGTGATCATAACTCAAAAACACAAATGAGGTACAAACTTAGTAGAATTAAGTAATTAAACGCTGCAAAGAGGAATGATTTAAAAATAAACTTAATTTATATAGTACATGCTAAAATACAATACAGTTTCAAAGCGCTTCAGCAAATAAATACTAAAATCTATCAGAAGAAATAAACTGCAATTACACAACATAATCATTTGATTAAGGCAAATGGCAAACGGGCTGAAATATATATATATATATATAATATATATATATATATATATATATATATATATATATATATATATATATATATATATATATATATATATATATATAATTATGAGCCATATTAACTGCAAATATGTGACTAATTGTGAATAATTGAGTCAATCGATTGTCTCAGTTATTTTAAGTTCTGGTAATTTATTTGGATTTACAGTGTATGGACCAGTACTTTGGTTTTAAGTATTCATTTTTATAAGTTGGAGAAAAAAATGTCTTGACAGATGCATTGTTAGGACCAGAAATATACAGAGATATGTCAGTTTACACCCTTTAATCAATAAATTTCCTGGCTTTGTTATTTATTTATTATTATATTTATTTATTATTATTTGTTTATTCTTCCACTCACAAGATGGCCACCACAACTGCCTCATCTTTAAAATCTATGACCTCTCTAGTTTTTATTAATATCTCATTGGTCCAGAGTCTCCCCTCAGGTGGACGCAGTGTTGCTATTTTTTTACCAGCTGTCAAAAACACAAAGAAAATTCAATCCGTCATTCTATATATCGCATTTGCGCGCCACAGCAGCTTAAACAATAGTCTTGTAGTCTTGTCCCCCGAGGGATTGAAATTTCAGTGCGGTAGGAAAGGTGATACTGCGTTTTCATTGGACTAAATCTGAGCTTCAAACAGTAGCAGCTGGAGTTGTAGTGGTATGTAGAAACAAACGTACAAGAACCTGATGACAGAGCAGTTGTTGCCCAAGAGCGCACTTATGTACATAGTCGCTAGCATCCTCCAGACTGACAAACAGACATAAAAGACATTTCGAGTTAAGTAAACAAAGCCATTAGCAGAATGTCATTAAGGAAGTGCTTGATTTGTTTTTAAAGGTCTTATATTACACAGAATTGGCTCTTGTGAGCTTTAAGTCATATTACAATGGTGTTACCTCATCAAAAAACATACCCAGAGTAGTGTTTTGTTTCATTCACATGTTTGAATAATCCTTCATTATTAGTCTACAGTTCCAAAGTTCAAAATGCTCTGCTCAATATTGTGATGTCATGAAGTGATAGTTTTCAAGATAACAGCTACCTTTTACCTCACGTTTCATAGAGATGACCAAATTCAGTGCTGAAAGTGTCCAAATGATTCTAGTGAAGGTGTATGTAGTTTAAAAACAAAGTGGAGCGCATGTTATTACCGCATGACATTACAAGGTAGAATAGAGTGTTTTGGGAGAACTCAGCCTAAATATGCAGTTTGTGTTAAAAATGTGTTAATGAAACAAAACTCCAGGTATGTTTGTGATGCGGGAACAACATTATTATTAACATAGACAACAGCTTAATACATAAACATTTTGCACATTCTTGGGTGGTCACAATAAAGATAAAAATACATTTATGAGCTAGAATTTACTTCGGGATATACAGATAGTAAATAAAGTCAAAAGTAGCAATAAAAACACTAGGCGCTTGGATTGTTTTGTACTTAACATTGTTTTTATTCACTTGTATTATAGCTAGCGCAATCATTTTTACATACTTATCAATGGGCCCCCAATAAACAAATGTCTAATGCCCAAAGGGTTGTTTATTCATGTTTGTTTTTTATGGCAATAGATGACTTTATGGCAATTTATGACTTTATTTCTTTTGTTTTATAACAGTCATATGACCTCCATTACAGTCACAGTATTATCATGCATAATTTTACTATCACATTTCACATCTGAATATGTGACTGTGACTCCAGATGGTTTTTAGTATAGATTTGGTTTAATCCTGTTCTAGTCCTGAGTTAAAGGGCCTATATTATGAAAAATTGACTCTTGTGAGCTTTAAGCCATGTTATAATATTGTTATCTAATTTTGTTTCATTCACACATGTTTAAGTAATCTTTTATTATTAGTCATGTCATGTTGTGGTAGTTTTCACATTAACGGCTCTTTTTATTTTACGTTGCCTAGTTCAGCAGAAATGGACAATTTTAAGACTCATCCATATGATTCTAGTGAAGGTGTACAGAGTTTAAAAACACAGTGGAGTGCTTCTGGGGTTACTGCATGACAACACAAGGCAGAAATTTGAGAGAAGATCTTAACTTAAATAAATAAATAATGTGTGAATGAAACAAAGCACAGCTCCAGGTATGTTACTGACGAGGAAACAACATAACAGACAAGAAAATAGTGTAATATGGGCCCTTTAATCCTGTTATAGTCCAAGTTTAGTCCTGTTTTAGTCAAAATTTTGGTTTGGTGATTGTGCAGGTTTTGACTATTCTAGCTGCTCGAAATTCAAAAAATACTTCACTATTGACAATACGTCCTTTCTTTTGAAGATAATGACAATTGTACACAGGTATGTACACTCTGCCTTCGCGTCCCTCTGGTATGACACAGCACAGACTCGCCATAAAAGAACAACAAACAAAACTATTTGCTGCGCTCTGTCATCCCACCTGAGGCTGCTGTCTATTGCGCTTTACTAACAGCTTTGATCTCTTCTTTGTAGCCATCGTGATCACCACCAGCACAAAGGTGGAGCCCTCTACTGGCCTGTCTACCACCTCGTCCATCCTGCAGTATGTGGCCTCTAAGGGGGACGCAGAGGCTGTCTTCACCTGTGTGTCCCAACATGAGCTGGGCGACGACTCTGCCATCGTGGGACCTTTCTCTGTGCACTGTGAGTCAAAGCAACATGGCATTATCACATTTGGCATTTTTTCATTTAAAGGTGCAATATGAAATTTGGGTGAGGGGTCCGCTACCTTTTTGTCTCTGTGGAGTTTCAATGCTTTTCCTGGAATGTTCCACATTATGGCATTACTCTTATCTATCTTGCATTCATTGTGGAACATCCCAGACAAAGAAAGAACAGTTCTATGGAGATAAACATGTGGCACTTTTAACAAATTTATATTAAACATGTTAATTATGTGTCTGCTGTAAATAATATTAATATTAACATACCTTTAGTTGTGTTTTGTTTCATTCACACGATTGAGTAACCTTTTATTATTAGTTGTCTGTACTCAGAAAGCTCAAAATTCTCTTGTTCCACCTTGTGATGTCATGAAGCAGCAGTTTTTAACAGCTTCCTTTTTGCTTTAGTTCAATGGAAATTGGCAGTTCCAGGGCTGAAATTATCCAATTCTAGTGAAGGTGTGTGGAATGCAAGAACACAGTGGAGCACTTCCTGTAGAGTATTTTCAGTTTAAGAGAAGAACTTTTGTGTGTTTGTTAGGGATGTAACAATAACCAAAATATTGTGATATTGTATCGTCAAAAGTCTCACAATAATATCGTGGGCAATATATCAAATCACAAGTTCCTTTGCTTAAATGCATGTTTTTATAGTTGCAACAGCTTATAAATATAGGGAACTACACATCCCATAATTCATTTCAGCACAGACAACATGAAGAAATATGTTTTTTACTTGAATTCTTGGGATTATGACGGAAATAATTCACACCAAAATCTTGTCAAGGTATTTTAAAAGTAAAAAAAGTGTCGTATCTACAATTATTTCAGCATCTCCAAAATATCGTAATAAATATCGTACTGTGAGATGCATATTGTGATAATATTGTATCAGGAGATTTGGGTATCATTGCATCCCTAATGTTTGTGTGTTAAACATGTGTGAATAAAACAAAACACAGCTCCAGATATTGTATATTTGTAATGAGAGCACAAAATTACACACATCAGAAAAAAGCATAATGTGAACCCTTTAACTTGCTAATCTCTATGGCAACAGTTTTCATGTTTTATCATTTTGAAAACCCACGGATAGCTTTCCCCAAAACTAGCATGGCACAGCTCATAGCAGGATAATTTGGACTATTTTGGGTAATGGAAACGTACCAGCTCTGTGTCCCTGCTGCAAAAACAAGTCTTCTGTTTCACTATTCTCTTCTACCTCACTGTGGGCTGAAGACTTGGCAGATTGTGGCTGCTAGTTTCCTGCCGAGACTGATTTCCTAGTCAGGCTGCAGCAGTGGGAACAAGACAGACTTATTTCAAATGAATAAAACTATTCATCCCCAGCAAGGGTTATTCTATCATGGTTTATTGGCGCCGTGACTAGGTAGTTCAGCTCATAATAGGGGGAAGCAATCAATGAATGTCTTGTGCAATGAGACAATGTGGATGTGATGATGATATTTAACAGGTGAATGCAAACACAGCTAAACCAAAGCTAACAAGGCAATCCACGACCACAGGCCATAGATAATACCCTATAGTCCCAGTACAAGAAGTGGTTTGTTATTTCAACAGACTGCAGACGCTTGGAGCAAAATGTCCGGCCTGGTTTTGCGAGAGACACTTCCTTATAGCTTTATCGAAACTCAGTGTCCACTGAACAAAACTTCATTGTTCAAAGTTTCATAGATGATCCAAGGAAGTAAAGCATGCCAGGTTACACTTTATTGTCCCTGCAGGAAATTTGTCCTCTGGGTGTCCTCATTTGACCCTATTTGAAACTTGTTAGGGACTCATCTCCAGATCTTGAGCTTGGTTTGGTCAGGACTACAGTACCTTAGCCTGGGGATTTTGTATTGTGCATGCTTAGGGTTGATGGGTGAAACTGCCCTGAGCAAAACCCACTCAGACACTAATACCTATAGCCATTTTTTTTGACAAACCTAGGAGCATTTAATATTTGAGACTGAAATGTGAACTCATGAACTAATACAAGAATCATATGCATTTCATAACATGTTTGTTATTTCACAACACTGACCCTTGTGATCTTGTAGTCTTGTTACTTCCTCAAAAACATACCTGTTTTTGAGGAAGTAACATGGTTACCCACACCACATGTTTGAGTAACCCTTTATTGTCTTTATTAGTCTGTCTACATCTCCAAACCTTAAAATGCTCTCTTCCACACTGTGATGTCATGTGGTGTTAGTTTTCAAGTTAACAATTACCTAATGTTCAGTAGAGATTGGAAATTCCAGGGCTGAAGTCATCGAAATGCTTCTAGTGAAGGTGTATGAAATTTCACTTTCTATATTACCACATGACATCACAAAGTGGAACAGAGTGTTTTCTGTTTAAAAGAAGAACTCAGCCTAAATATGCAGGGTTTGTGTGTTAAACATGTGAATGAAACAGAACACAACCCCAGGTATAGCATAGATCAGAAAATATAATCTAATATAAAATGAGCCCTGTAAATAATTGCAGTGTTTGTGAGTTTCTTGCTGTGAGGTGAGGGCACTAGCCACTCAGTCACCATGCTACTAACACAAGAAACTCTATTTGAAATTTATTCCTGCTGTTTACAAATTGAGGTTTTAAATCACAATGCTTTCTCTTTAACCACAATTGCATTTAAAATGAAGAATGTTCTGAAACATATTCTTTGAGTGCTATTCAAGGACGCAGCTACATAAGAAGTCATAAGGAGTGAGTGCCATTTCCCCGTGCTCAATGTTTACACTGTGTCTGAAATAAAGGACAAATAAATCTAGGCTCTTTCAGTCAAAGTCCCTAGTAAATAACCGTATATTTGTATTCATTTCACATGAGACTCCTGTTAGCATTAGCTCCACAGAGAAGCCTTTTTGGGGCTGTGTTGTGTGTACACAGAAGAACAATGCTCTGTGTGTGGCAGGTTTGTCACTGGGCTTTGTAACTGTAATAACAAAACACTGAACAATGTGGACCTCTCAGTTATGGTTTATCAGGATTTGGAGTGTTGCTGAGGTGGGAATACCTGTTGATAATTTGTAGTGGCAGCACGCTGAGGGTGCTTTACCTGTATCTTTATGGTCGAATGTTCAGAAGGTGGAGATACAATGCACATATTAACAAACACTGTCAAAAAAGATTTTAAATTGTCTGAAAACAAAACACAAAATCAATACAAGTCACGGTGCTGTTTTAGGAGTTTGATTTTCAACAAAAGTCTTGGAACTGTAATTTTATTAGAAGAAGAGACTTGTTTAATAGCACAAATCAGCTCACCTTTTGTAGTTCGAGTTCTTTATTTTCAGATTGTTAAAACAAAGCTCAGTAAAAGAGCTTCAGACAGAGCAGTGCCTATAGTTAGCATCACACCCTCAAGGAATGTAAATGGCGTCAGCTGCAATGTATCAGTTGCGGATTATTATTTTGTATAGAGCTGCAAGATATATTGCAAACAAAATTAAATTGCAATTTGAATGATTGCAATTAGGAAATCACAAAGATGAACCATGTAGCATTTCTAGTGGAGTCCGCCACGTACTTCTCTCCATGGAAATGTTATTGCTTTGCCTTGAATGTTCCACAGTATAGATTAAACCTAGTTATCACAATGTAGATGTAGAGTAAACATCACTTACGTTGATGGTTTTCTATAGCAAAATATCTGTGGTAATGTCTCCCTTATTTTCCACCAGCTTCATAAATCTGCAACAAGTTACTTATTAATGATTTACTTATTACTTATGTTTTATTCATTACCATAATGTTAGTTTTGCTCAAGAGTAGTTCACTAATGCTCATTGTTGTTAGCATTTACATTTTCGTCTTTCTTACCTTGATAGTTGTGGATAAATTCTTCATGGACAGAATATTTCTTTTGTGGACCTTGTTGGATGAAGATCTGGTGATGGGACAGATTTATGAAGCTGGTGGAAAATACGCGAGACATTTCCTCAGATATTTTGCCATAGAAAAGCATTAACATAAGTGCTGTTTACCCTACATCGAGGCACCTGTGAAAAGGTCTAAAAGGTCTATTCAAAGAAGGAATTGTTGTATTTTTTAGCAAAAGAAACACTTGTAATAAATAAATGAAAGATGGAAATGTTTAAAGTCATATCATGAAACATTCCAGGCAAAGCAGTAACATCTCCATGGAGACAAGTAGGTAGCGGACCCTCCACCAGAAAAGTGAAAAGTGAATTAAGCCAATATCCAGTCTTATTATGTATACAACTCTGCCAACTCTAGTTTAGACCTCAATTAACTTGTTTTGAAATGTATGGGATTATAATATACGTGTTCTCATTTAAATCGTCTCTCAAATGTTAATGCTCGTGGATATGTTTATATGTACTCTTTGAAACCAACTATTAAAACATAAATCACACATCTAATCTCCATGCTTGTCAGAAAAACTTGATATTTTGTCAGTATGGTGCAGCTCAAAATTTTGCATTCACATCTTCGGACTTTGAAGAGGAGATGGGGAGTCAATAAAACCAAGCACCGGATCTTGTGAGGGCTTGGCGGTTCAGTGGGGAGTTTCCAATTTGTTAGCTTCAAGGCAACATTTTCCGAGCGCACATCCAAGTCAGGTGGGTCACTTTGTGTAACACCTGATGGATGGTTATTTTGCTGAGCTTGTGTGGAGAATTGACCCTATTGTGCACACTGCAAAAAGCAATATCTAGGTAAGTTAAAATGAAGGTTCACTATGTAACTTTTCCGTTGGGGGTCCATCACCTGCTTGTTTCTATGAATATGTCATTACTCTGCCTGGAATATTCCACAGTATGATATTAAATACACCTTTGCCTTATATTACTTTTTGTGTTTATAGCTCAGAAATAGAGCAGTGTTACCTCTCCACAACTAGTCTAGTGTGATCTCCATGATGAAGCAATCGAATCTCCATGGAGACAAGCATTTGACAGATCCTCCCCCCGAAAAGTTACACAATGCACCTTTAACTCGGATAGATTTTTGTTTTTGCAATGCAGATGCAGACTGTGCTTGTGCTTCAGTCTGTTGAATATTCTATCTTTTCTCTCTAATTGCAGATCCATCGGAGAAAGTTAGCCTCCAGGTCCTGAGCAAGGGTCCCATCGTCGAGGGCGATAACGTGACTTTGAAGTGCCACGCTGATGGCAACCCCCCGCCCAAAGCTTTCTACTTCCACATCAAGGTCAGTGAGGCGAGCACTGTTGAAATTCAAGAATAATACTGGACCATTGTGAAGTCTGCCATCTCTTTGCTATTCAGTCTCCCAGCCACTTGTTACAGCTTATCATATATTTGAATAGACGAACAGAAGAAGCTCAATTTGGGGGTCATGATGAAGCTGACATATTTGGGAGAGCTTGTAATGCCATATAGGTCCCAGGACTAAAGCCAATCTCATTTTAATTAAATTTAATCTGACTACAATTAAGTCCTTCTGCAAATCACGTTATGTTTTGACTGTCATCTCATCTTAGTGCATATGAAAGGTTCACATGTTTTTTCTAATTATTACTATTTTATCGTAGTTTCACATCAGTCAAGAGGCAGTTTCCAATAAAAATTGGAAGAAAAAAATAGTGTTCAGTCTAAAAAAGGAATCTCAATACACAAAATTCCATTCAAAATGCAGAGACATTTTTCTGACAGTTCAAACCTTGTTTTAACAAAAGTAATAGTTTTCTTAGTCAGATCATACCTACTGTGTAAATTAGACAAGCTTTAGCGCTTGTTAAACATTATGGTTGCTAAGTAGGAGTTACAGAATTATGTCTGTAAATGGCACATCTGCTGCCTGTGTCCAACCAGGAAGTAAAATTATAAATGTCACCAAAAACTGTCAAACTAAAGGTGGTCTAAGGGAGTGTGACGTCACCCATACCGTTCGGCTCCATTCAAATTAAGATCACCGAGACGAGCGGTTATAGGGGTAAATTAATTCCTATTAGAAATAGGAATTCATTAACAGCAAAATGTTGAAATAAAAACATGCAGAGTGGGTTAATACAAATGTTTTAAGACCAAAGTGACAAGGCTCACAGCAGCAGTTACGGAGAGAGGGATGACAATTTCTCAGAATAAAGTCAATTGGAAAGAGTCGAAGGAGCCTCAAGCGCCTCCATGAACACATCCTATTTGGAATGCAGCTAGTGGGTTAGCTATGTCCATTTATATATGGTCTATGGTACATACGCATGTATGAATATACAATGCGATCACAACTAGGGCCTAGCCGATATGGGCACTTGGAGACATATCAGCTATCTGCCTAAATCTTGCCAATATGGGTCCACGCCGGCATGTTATATCTCATTATAAGTCTTCTACTGTCTGTATTGCATCTGTTTAACCCAATTTACAGACAGATAAATGTCCTAATATGTGGCAACACATCAGTATTTATCAGAGGAGTATGTATGTATGTGATGCCGTACTGCCCCTGAATGCAACCCAGACTCAAGTGACTCAAGTGTTCTTGTTTACACCAGTGCGCAACACTGAGACGATAACTTTAAATGCTCTTGTGTCTGATCAACAATAATGCCTATAAGTAAAAGTTAACTTAAGCGAAGTTTAGGCCAGCAACAAAACTACGGCTTGTTTTTATCAAAGTGCGAGTGCGGAGAAGAGAGGACTTTCCCACAGACAGAGGACATACACAGCTGTTGTTGACATGCTGGATTATATTCTTTTTACGCACAGTCATTTTGAGTCAGGATTAAAAGGACACTTATTTGTGAAGACTTGTGATCTGAGAAGAGCCTGTATGAGCGGTGAGCATTACAAATGTGTCGGCTTTAGAAGTTCTTTTCATTCTTTCTCATTGGTTAACACTTAACCAATGAGAGCTATTGTTAGCTACTATATATAAACAACCTTTTTTCTCTTACATTGGTCTATTTTAAAGTGACTATAGTGGCAGTATACACGTTACTGGACCTACATTGATATGTAAATGAACTGTGACTAGAAGTATGAATTTACGCATTTAATAATTATTGTGGTGCGGGCTCACATTTATGACAACTGCTAAAGGCTAAGTGGTAGTTTACTTACTTTGTTTACAGGCAAGAATGTCATGCAAAAAATCCCATTAGGCTGACCTACTGTCTTTAAATATGACTATAAAGAGGTAAAATAACAGTAAATATAGCCTAAACAAACCCATCTTAAAGCCAAATGAGTCAAACCTAAGTTTTATAATCAGCTGAAGACTTACAGTGAATTTGAACATCACTATCACTGTTATATCGGTTATATGGGTTTCATATCAGATCCAAAAAAATCCATCTTGGTCAGGCCCTAATCATAACACATCGGAAAATTGTGTGAATTGTGTGTTGGTCTTTGTGTATAACTAATTTGCAATCATCATGGAGTTTGGGTATAGCCTAGAAAAACATAGGGTGGTTATGTATTTGTAGATGCCATGATTGCATTAAAATGTCTTGGAAATGAATCGTACAACGTGTGCAAGCGCTGAGTGCAGTCTAACCTGTCATATGCACTTTAAACTATGCATTCCCTTTCTCCTTGATTTGAAATAAACCCTCCCTCCGTTTATCCAGGGCCAGAAAACGCTGGTGGAGAATTCTGATACGTACACTGTGACTGGCATCGGGCGCGACGCGGGCGGAGAATACAAATGTGCACTGGCCGACAACGAGAAAATGGAGGCCTCCCAGAGCATCGTGGTCAGCTGTGAGTACCCATGACATACGGGAGCCTTATCAAACACAAGAAATCACAACAGACATAGCCCACAAATCCAACTGTTGTCCCTGGTTTCCCTCTAGCCCGCCCCCCCTCCTCTCCTCTGTCTTCTCTCTCCTCTCTCCTCGCTCTACCCTTTCTCCTCTCCTTTCTCTCCTCTCCTTCTCTCTTTCTTCTCTCGCATCTCCCTCCTCTCCCTCCCCTCTCTCCTCCAAGCTGCACTACATGATAGAAATTTCATAGAGCTACAAGAACGTTACAGACTGCCACACTGCGGGGGATTTAGTTTGTGTAGTTTGGGAGAATTGAACAAATGATATAAGTGTATGTGTTGTTCCAGACTCGTATTTAAAGTTGCCAAACGCCTCGTGTTTAGTCATTGCACAATCATTCACGCTTGCTTCCATTAAACTGTGTGTAAATGAGCAGCAATAGTTAGCTTTTTTATGGGAGCTTGTTTATAGTTCAAGTTTGATATGACACTTTCAGAATTTTCTTTTAATTTAGTTTCTATTGCATTTTATCAGTGTTGGGAACTAATTGAATACAAGAGAATACGTAGTCTGAATACTGATTTGGAGTAGGGGTGGGCATGATTAATCGATTAATCGATAATTGATCATTAAGAATTGCATCGATTATGTTAATTTTAATCGACAAACCGAATGTAGGTTGCTGTGCGTAGCGTGACCAAACAGCGGTCCGTACATGTAGCTCTCTGCACTCAGAAGGAGCGAGCAAACAGAAACAGTCGGTCAGTCTGCAACGTACCGAAGCACAAAGGCGTATTTAACGATGATTTGTACAAGAAATTCCACGCTTTCCGTTGCGTTTGGGACAAGTGTGAGTCCATGTGCACAGTGAACAAAGCAGGAACATATGTTTCGGTGTCCAGTGGGAAAAGGCTTTGCCAGGTGAGAGTCGCGCAATGTCGATGACGAGTCCCCACCTCCCATCCCCCGTACGGTGTCCTGGTCACACTAACCTGTATTCCACTGAGTCATGTCTTTTAATCCGACAGAAATTGACTGCATCAGCGCACAAGAGCTGTAGTTTTATTTTCGCTTAATTTATGCAAATTAGCGATACGGTTTTAAGTTTCGTTTCTGTGAGAGTTGCGCAAAACTGAATTAAACACATTATAATGTCAAACGGATTGATGTGGCTCTAGAGTCGTTACGGTTTATATGTCGTAAAGTTGAATTTATTTATGCAGATTAGTAGTGCAGATAGTAATAATAATGATGATCATTTTAATATAAAAACGTTAATGATTAATCGATAATCAATTGTTAATTCTTCCAACGATCAATTAAGAAAATTTCATCGAATGCCCATCCCTAGTTTGGAGTTAACTGTATTCCAGTACAGTTACTTTTTCATTTGTTGGTATTATTCAGAGTACAGTTACTTTCCTAAAATCATTGGAATATATTGTGGGATCTCAGAATTTCAAACTGCACATAACTAGCAAGAAAAATATGAAACACCATTCTTGTGGTGAGTGCATGTGTGATTTTTCCTTCTCCAGTTATTGATAGGAAATGTGAAAGAAATGGTGAAACAAACATCAAGATGTTTTTACCTCTATGTTGCGTCTTTACTCTATAATTTTACTTGATGTAAGAGCATTCCAAGTATTCAGAATACAGGACTCTGATTGGACAATGTATACAAAATACAGATACAAAATACATTTTAATTCAAGTATTCAGTATTCTGTAACTAAATACATGATGGGAAGAATACTATAGCTAAATAGTATTCTTCCCGTCAGTGTATATTATTGTATGCTATGATTATGTGTAGGTGTGTTTGTTCAGAGGAAAGACACTCATTTATGCAACATATTTGACATTTTCACTATTCTGATGAGAAAAATGGGTGTGTTTCATATGAATTTTACACAAGAAGTGGTTTAACAAAGACTTTTAGTATCACAGCCATGATTTAGCCATTATTTTTTATTGAACTGTATCGAATAAATTTTAAATGGTATATATGGTATCAAACCGAAAGTGCACTGTATCGAGATATGTATCATATCGGCAACTTCTTAACAATACCCAGCCCTAATTATGTAGTTAAAAAGGTCCTATGTTATGCAAAATTTTACTTTAGTTTATTTTTTTTTATAATTTATTTTAGCATTATTAGTCTTTCTATGTCTCCAAAGCTCAAAATGCTCTGTTTCACCTTGTGATGCCATGTAGTGGTAGTTTTTAGGTTAACAGCTATCTTTTACCTTTTGTTTAGCAGAGAAAATAACTCAGCCTAAATATTGTGTAAATATTTGAATGAGTGAATAAAACTCCAGGTATGTTTTTAACAAGGAAACAACATTATGACATAGAACAGAAAACAGCGTCATATGGGCCCATTAAATACTTCTATATATAAACACGCCGCGTAACAAGCGTCTCTCATTCACTGTAAATAAAGTCATGAAAGCGGAGCGATGCTAATCAAATTTCAACTTTGGAGAACCCAGCCTGGCAGGGAGTCTCAGTGCAGTACCGAGGAGGAGGAGAACTAATTAGAAAATTCTGACACGGAAAGAGAAGAAGTGACAAAGTGTTTGGGTGGGCAAGACGCCAGGGCAAACTGATAAACGCCATTTTATTCTCTTACTATTCTTCCTCCTCTTCCTCCTCCTCATCCTCCCTCCCAGTAGCTCTCCCTTACGTAATTACTGCCCTCTCCCCAGGTGAACGTTTGCAAGGCTTCAGTTCAAGTAGGCCGTATGATTGTAATAAAAATAAGTCTGACACATCCTCCCTTCTCCACTGTCCCATATGGATCCTAATGCCCTTCACACATTTTAAACAAAGAAGTGGGTTTTTCACAACACACAACTTTTAAATTGAGTTTGTGGCAGAGCAGAGAAAAACAATCGCTTTCTAAATTGTTTAAGATATTTTGCGAGTGTGTGTGCATTTGTGAGTCCCCCTGAGAATTATTTACTTATACAGGAAAAAAAAATAAGTGGCTAAACCCCAGGCTGCTTGATGGCTGGGAACATTAAAGGGCTCATATTATGCTATTTTCTGATGTTATAATGTTGTTTCCTTGTCACAATTACCCAGAGTTGTGTTTTATTTCGTTCAAGCAGGTTTAAAACACAAACCCTGCATGTTTAGGTTGAGTTCTTCTCTCAAACTACCACTTCATGACATCACAAGGTGGAACAGAGCATTTTGAGCTTTGGAGATACAGACAAACTAATAAATCAGAGTTACTCAAACATGTGTGAATGAAACAAAACACAGCTCCAGGTGTTTTTTTTTGTTGGTGTAACAACATTATAACATGACATAAAGCTCACAAGAATTGATTTTGTGTACTCCTTTAATGGTGGACTATGTAACTTTCTATAGGGATCTGCCGCTTGCTTGTCTCTATAGAGCGGTGTTTCGAAAGACTGGGTCACAAGAGTTTTTTTGGGTCGCCTTGTCATGATCTGCATGTACAGTAGACCTGCAATGTACAGTTCTGATACATAAGATTTTTGTGCTCACCAAAATGAAGACGAAGCACAGAAACAGACTGAATGCTGAGTCTGAACTGCTGCTGCACTTCCTCCTGCACCCCAGACTCGAACGTGCTACAAAAATGCAGAAAGGCCCACCTATCTCATTAGAACTGTTGAAATGTTAAGACATATTTCGTATAATTTCTAATCTTTTTTTTTTTGTTATTATTGTATTGACTATATTTTTTCCAATATTGCTGGTTCAGTTGAATGTTGAAAAGAAAAAGAAATGGGCTACATTTAATGCCCAAATAAGCGACTTAAGGATCAGAATTTTTTGCTGGTTCAATTACTGTTCAGAGAGACACGATCACTCAGTTAACAATAAAATATCCTCATTAATGTTTAATAATGGTCAAATCCACCTTTATTTTGTGATTTACAAATAATGTCTATTCGTAAATCAAAGGTTTGTGACTTTGATTTGTAACATGGTGGCTGAGTGGCTAGCACTCAGGCCTCACAGCAAGAAGGTTCTGGGTTCGATCCCCGGGTTGCCCGGGCCTTTCTGTGTGGAGTTTGCATGTTTCTCCCCGTGTCTGGATGGGTTTCCCCTGCTCTGGTTTCCCCCATCAACCTAAAACATGTTACAGGTCTCCAAAAAAAAAAAAAGGTCAGTTAAATACAATCAATTCTGTCTTTGTGTTCTTAGGCAAGACACTTCTCCCACATTGCCTAGTATGAAAGAGGTGTGTGTGAGTGATGGTGGTGGTTGGAGGGACTGATGGCGCTGAGTGGCATGGCAGCCGCGCCTCTGTCAGTCTGTCCCAGGGCAGCTGTGGCTACAATAGTAGCTTACCATCACCAGGGTATAGAGTGAATGAATAATGCTGAATAATGCTCTGTAAAGTGTGTTTGGGGACAAAAAATGTCTGTGAAAAGCGCTATATAAATAAAGACCGACTTACTTACTTACATTTTAAAATATGGGTACCCAGAAAAAAACTTTGGGAAACACTGATGTAGAGATGTATTGCTTTGCCTGGAATGTTCCACAGTAGGGCATTAAACGTATCTAACATGCATTTATCAAGTTCTAAGTGTTTTTATTGCTCATATTCATTGTGTTCTGGCAGTTGCCGTGGGCGCTGTGTTTTCAGTTTGAGAGAAGAAGTGCCAAAATATGCAGGGTTTGTGTGTTAAACATGTGTGAACGATACAAAACAAACAAATAGGTCAGAGGTCAGAAAGTAGCGTAATATAGGCACTTTAAGTATTTAGTTGATGCTGTTCCACACTCTTCCCAGGTGCTGACAAACTCTAGGCTGATTTAACTATGGGAAGACAAAAGCGCTAGCTGCAAGTATAAACAAATCTTGAAATACATATGGTCAATTACCGTGCCAACACGGGAGAAGCAATTTACAATGGCAGACTAGCATTGTTTTCCACCTCTAAAAGCACCTCTTAGTCTAAATAGGAAACAAATGAGAAACATCAATATGGATTTTTTAAA